TACAAATATTGTTTTAGAGATTTGTGATAGAGATTCATCATGAACTGCATCATTATGGTGCACTAAAGTAGATATCTAATCGAGTCATTTATACGAGGAAATCATGAAAGTAGACAAATTACTCAAATATATGGATTTTATGATGAATGTATGAAAAAATATGGAAGTAGTGATGCATGGCAAATATTAACTAACTTATTTGATTGTCTTCCATTATCTGCACTTATTGATCAAAGATATTTTTGTGTTCATGGAGGTCTTTCTCCTTCATTAAAAAAAGTTGATCAAATTTCTATGTTAAATAGAGTTCGTGAAGTTCCACATGAAGGACCAATGTGTGATTTGTTATGGTCTGACCCTGAAGAAAAAGCAGGATGGGAACAAAGTCCTCGTGGGGCTGGATTCATTTTTGGTAAAGATGCATCTGATCAATTCAACCAAATTAATGGTACTGAAATTATTGTTAGAGCACATCAAATGGTTATGGAAGGATATCAATGGAATCATAATAAAACTGTTGTTACTATCTTTTCCGCTCCAAATTATTGTTATAAATGTAATAATTTAGCTGCAATTATGGAATTATCAGATACTGGAGAATATTCATTCTCTCAATTTTCTCCTGCACCTTCTCAAGATGAATTCCCAAATACTAAACATGTTCCTTCTTTCTTATTTGAATAAATTTAACAATTACAACAAATATTATATTTTCGATATTGATTATTTTTTTGAATAGTCTTATTTTAATACTTTGAAAACTCATTTACTTGTTATTTTTTTTATACTTTATTATTAAATGAAAGGTAAATAAAAAATTCTAAATTATATGCTGTAATTCTTTCAATTGTATTTTGGTCTTCAAGTTTTGGGAATGTTGCATAACCCTCATAACAATCACTACTCTTTTCAAAATGAAGATGTAATTCATTTGTTCCTTTAGTTTTAGCAACTCCAAACGCTTCATTAAATTTAAAGATTATATCTCTGTCATCACTAACATCATATTTAAATACATTAATAAATCCTTTCATTATCTTTCCCTTTGATTCAATCACTTGTAATTTCATACCATTTTCTTTACAGAATAGTGTTGACTTTTCACCCTGAATAATTCCACCATAGATACTGTTGCTATCTTTTATGTAGATGTAAACAGCAAGTCGATTGTTATCATTAAAATCTTTAACAAAACTTAGGTTATTAAATCGTGAAATTGCATCTTCATGGTTGTGGAATTCATAATGATAAAATTTATCTCCTAGTTTATGTGAACTTTTCATTGCATTCTCATCAGAAATATCTTCTACTCCCTCATCACCTTCTTTTTTATTATCTGTTCTATCGGAAGGGACCTTGCTATCATCTTTTATTGGTACTTCGCTATTTTCTTTGGGAAGTTCTTCTACAGGAATTTCTTCTTTTGGGAACTCTTCTATAGGGCTATCGTTACTATTTTCATTCATAACATCAACTGGTTTTTTGCTATAGTTCATGCCTTGTTTTATGTCATCGTCCCCTGCTGATTTGTTATGAGGAAACAGAAAGTTTACAAAAGGGTCATCTATGTTTTCTTTGTGAAGCATCAGGACTACTGCTTTGAATGACTCTAATAATACCCTATTAATTTCTGGAATAAGGTTATTAAAACTGCATTCTTCATCAATATAATATTTGTTCATTATTTATTTTCAAGTTCTCTATTTTTTAATTGAAATAAAAGTAATTATTAAATGAAATTCTAATTTATTTAAATAATTTTCATTAAATGTAGTTTTTATTACTTTATATCTTTTACATTCCTTCATTTCTTAACATGACAACTCTTTTTCTCATTTAATTTATCTCATATAATCTTATTCATTCTTTATTATTAATTAGAATTAAAGGATTTGAAGGTTGTATGGCAGAGACACCACTCAGAACCCTAAAATATTTACATCCTTTGAACCCCCACAGTTATAGTCTGGTTATGACCTTGCATTTAGTTGAAAAACACCTTACTCAATATTGCAAGAATATTAGTGATTATTGTTTATGTGATTGAATGTCATTGATAATAAAACTGTACTTATTTATAAAGGTGATAATGTTATTTACTTGTTAAAACACAAGTGTGTTTATACATATATGTATTATCAAAGAAAAATGGTCTGATGATTAAGGCTAAAAAGAAAATTGGCTTATAGTAATATAGTAATAAGATATATTCTTCTTAAAAATAAAAGTGAAGAAGATGAATTTTAATAAATTAAAAACAATAGAAACTTATGACGAATATTTAAGTCAAAGATATCTGAAATACTTTATTCTACATTAAATAAGAAATAAATTTCTCATATTCTAAGAACTAAAGGCTGACAACGTGCTAATAGTTATTGACCAAACACTTTTAAAGCAAAGAGATGGGGTTAGAGTCTCCCCTGAGCAAGGAATAATAGAAAATAAAACTATTAACACTTAACTATCTCCTTTTTATTAGATTATTTAATAATTTCAAAAAAAAAAGGAACTTTTAAAATTACTATAAAAAAGAAATGTAATATATAACAAATATTTTAATTTTGAAAAAAAGAACTAAGGAAACAAATCAACTTAAAACTAATGAGAATCAAACTGTTAGGTTATAATCGAATAGTTCAATTACTCCAGTCATTTTATGCATATCATACATACTTTACTATTGCAATGGCCTTATTAATAGGGTTTTTATGTTATGTTAATGAAATGGATCATTCAAGATTAACAGTTATGGAAGCATTTTTTTTAGGAGTTTCAACGTCTACTGATACAGGGTTATTAACATTTGATTTTTCAATTGTTTGTTTTTCTTATTTATAAAGTGAAAATAATTTAATCAAAACAGACAAAAATCAGTACTCAAATAATTGTAATGATTGGAGCAGAATTATGTGGAGTATTTTTTGCATCAACACTAATACCATCTGTATGTAGATGGTACAGATTAAGACAAATTATTAAACAACAAGAATTATTAAATAATGATAGTCCAAATACTTTAGTTGATTTTTCTTCGAGTGAAAGTAGTGAAATAACAGATGAAACGAATGATGAAACGAATTTACAAGTATTTACAAGTGAAATAGAACCAATGCAATATGATTATAAATTAGAAATTAAATCATTAGAATATTTTATTTATATTTTATTATTCTATACAATATCATTTAAACTTATTGGATTTATTGTTATATTAATAACTTGTTATACTTCTAATGAAACTGTAAATTTTTTAAGTCAACAACAAATAAATCCAATTTGGTTTAGTTTATTTCAAACAATATCATCATGGAATAATTTAGGAATGACTGTTAATCAAAATTCATTAAATCCATTAATTAATGTTCGTTGTATTGTAATTACATCTGTATTTCTTAATATGACAGGAAATATAATGATTCCGATTATTACTAGAATGTTAGCATTTATTGTTCATCGTCTTTTTGAACAAAAATCAAAACATTGTTCAAAACCACAACCATTATTATATATTTTAAAAGCACCTACTAGAATGTCATTATCTTTTTTCTCTTCTACACAAACAAAATTATTATTTCTTGTTCAACTCTTTTTAATTCTTCTTCAAACTATTTTCTTTTCATTATTTTATAATAAAAATGATCTTTCACCTCTTTATGTTGGATTTGTTAATTCATCTTTTACTCGTACTGCAGGGTTTAGTATAATTAATGTTCGTGATTTAAGTCCACCTGTTATATTAACTTATATTTTATCAATGTATATTGCTGCTTATCCAACAGTAATTTTACGTCAATATCGTGATATTGAAGTAAATGCAAAAGCTGGTCTTATTCATATTCAATCAAATATTACTACTATTTTAAAATATGTAAAAAGTTTATTCTTCTCACATATAATGTTTGTTTATTCATTTCTTTATTATTTTATATTTATTTATCATTTTTAGTTGGTTTTATACAGCAACTTTAATAGTAATGGGTTTTTATTGTTCTGCTCATACAACTGGTGCAAATCAATTAATTGATGTAATGTTTGAAATTTCAAGTGCTTTTGGAACTGTTGGAATGTCATTAGGGTCTTCAAAAGATCCCTGTAGTTTTAGTGGAGATGTTCCAATCCCAGCACAATTAATTATATGTTTATTGATGATATTAGGCAGACATAGAGGATTTCCAACTCACAGTTATCCATTAGATTATTATTCTTTTTGGAAAAAAGTTAATTCTTAATCAAATATATTTTTGACATTTTAACGTCTGATTTAAATATTATTTTTAACAATGGTTTAATGATATTAACCTCATTAAATTCCTTTTTGTATCCAAAAAAATATTAGAAAGAAAACTCTTTAACAAACAATTTTATTCATAACAAAATACCATAAATCAAAAGCTCTTCTATATACTATCCTTTTTTTTTTGTTTATAAGAGAATAAAGAATTTGAAAACTTAGAATTACTAATAGAAATAAAAGGGATGATATAAATATAGTTATAGGTTCATTAGTTAATGATTTAATTTCTTTAAAATCAGGTTTTATAAATCTATTTCAACTTGTTGAAATGAAATTAAATAACTTAAAGAAATTTTGAATATAGTAAAAAAGAGAAAAGAATAAAATAAAAAGTAGTTAATTAAGTATTAATAGAACTTGTGTCTATTGTTCCTTGCTCAGGGGAGACTAATCCCGTCCCTTCGCCTAAAAGTGTTTGTTCTTCAACTATTAGCTTATTCTTTGCTTTTAGTTGTTGAACGGTGAGAATTTTCTTTTCTCATTTTTAGTGTGGAATAGAGTATTTTAAACATCCCTTACTTAGATATTCATTATTAAATTTCTTTTTAATTTCTATGGGTTTAAATTTCTTCTTCTTTATTTTCTTATTTTAAGGAGAGCATATAATTACTGTATTGCTTTGGGCTAATATTCTTTTAGCCTCATCCACTTGACCCTTTTCTTTTGATAATCTTTCTTATATTATCAAATAATACTTGTATTCTAACAAGTAATAATAACATCTTTATAAATACCCATTCGTTTATTGTCAATGATATTCTGTCATTGTACATAATAAACACTGCTATTCTTGCAGTACCGGGTAAGATGTTTTTCTAACCAAACGCAACGCCATAACCAGTCCATAACTGGGGGAATCGAAGGATGGAAATATTTTAGGGTTCTGTGTGGTGTCTCTGACGTGCTACCTTCAAATCCCAAAAAGAGAAAAGAATAAAATAATAGAAGAAAAAAATATTGAAAAAATATAAAAGATAGTAATGAATGAAAAAATGATAAAGAATTGAAATTATTTATACCACTGATTCTAACATAATTTTATTTAATAAAATAATAACGAATAAAAAAAAATTTAATATTTCTTTTATTTATTAAAGAAAAAGTTTTTAGAATTAGTTTAAATAAATCAATTACTTTATTAAATCAATTTATTGATGATGAATCAATGTATATGTTTACTATATAATTAGATAGAGTGTTAATGAAAATAAAGAAAAAAAAAGAACAAGTAATATATAGAAAAATTTTATTGAATTATTTTCTATGGTTTATTCCTTTTTTGTATTTCATGGGCATTTGGATTTACAAATTCAGGAACAAATAATAGGTTATATGAAAAATTTAAAGACTAATATAACAATTCATTAAAATTACCTGTTATTTTTAATGTATCTCATATTCTTGTTTTTCAAAACAAAGTACTTTAATTATTTTTTAAAAAAGTATCTCTTTTCAGTATAATTCATATTTTTATTTCTCTCTTTATTCTATTTTTGAAATTATTTATTTGATATTTTAGTTAAAAGTATTTATGGTGATTCATTTTTTTGGTTCTTGTTCATTGAACAACTCAAATGAAATATTTGTTTTATAAAA